GGGAAAGAGGAATTGTAACATTAGCTTCACCAAGCAAAGGCTGGGGGAAACCAAATTACAAACTGGAGGTAATTGTAGTAGGGGACTACAAAAATCAGAATAAACTGTGGGGGACAGAGGTATTTCAGAATGAAGTCTTTACAAACATTTTTTAAACTTTTATACCTATGCCTTGTTGTTAAACTGCTACTAAAAGCAATTAAAAGTCTAAATACTTTGGAAAAGAAGATGCTACTTGAACTGCCTTCTCTTCCCACAGCTACTTGTTTTGTCACTCCAAATACTCTAGAGAGAAGGAAAAACGTTGTTTTCAGGTTACAGTAACATACTACTTGGTGCATTAAGGAAAACTCTATTGGAAACACTGCACATTTTTGAAGTCTATACTTTAGACTCATCTCACTCAAAAACATTCACTCCTAACCTACTGTTCGGTGGATCATTTCAAGAAGCTTTTCAAGTTAAGCAGAAACAAGTACAAAAACATGTACAGTCAGCCCTCCAACGTAATGCACTCTACAAAGCATACTTCAAGGTCCTTTGTAACACAGCAGTGGAACAAGGAACAGACCACATGATTATAGTTAAGCCAAATTAATGTAAACAGCTACAACTACTGACTTAACCTGAATTGCATTGACCTACTTGGGCAGAAAATGTTTGTCAAGTGTGATGTAAGCTTAAGCCCTGATCCTCCTGTTCAGGCCTTCAAGAGCTGTTTATACAAGATTCCAGGTGTGTGCTTGCTCTCACTCTTCTTTCCTCCACCTCCAGTCACCTGAACACACCAAACAGCACGTGGTACCGCATTTCTCTCAGAAGATCCACTGACACTTACAGCACTCCAAAAGTGTATGAGCAGTGACAAGCTGTCCTGGTTTTGGCTGGGATAGAGTTAATTTTCCTCCTGGTAGTTTGTATAGCGCTGTGTTTTGGATTTAGCATGAGAATAATGTTGATAACAAACTGATGGTTTAGTTGTTGCTAAGCAGTTACTAAGTCAAGGACCTTTCAGCTTCCCATGCTCTGCCAGCAAGGAGGTGCACAAGAAGCTGGGAGGGGGCACAGCCCAGACAGGGGACCCAGAACAGCCAAAGGGGTATTCCATACCATATGACATCATGCTCAGTATATAAATTGGGAGGAGTTCATCAGGGGGGCAGTGATCACTGCTCTGGGACTGGCTGGGCATCAGTCAGCAGCTGGTAAGCAATTGCATCACTTGTTTTTCCTAGGTTTTGTTTCTCTCTCTTTGTTGGTCTCCTTTTCATTACAATTTATTATTATTTCATTTCAATCATTAAACTCTTCTGCTCTCACCCCCTGAGTTTTCTTACTTTTACCCTTCCGATTCTCTCCCCCCTCCCACTGGTCGGGGAGGATGAGTGAGCAGCTGTGTGATGCTTGGTTGCCAACTGGTGTTAAAACACAACACAAGCACATCAACGCAGATTTCATGATCAAATAACCTTAACCTTGGTAGTTACACAAGGGTATAATTTTTGGACCAGCCTTACTGAATGTCTACTGAATCTTTTGACTTTTTTTTTTTTTTAAACACAGACAGTTTACGAAAACTTAAAGTAAAAAATAATAAAACAACATAACATTTTGTTGGTTGTCCACCCAGGCAAAAAAAAAACCCGCTAGTTTTTTTTTTTTTCCTTCTTCTTTGGACCGGGATACATTCTTCTCCCAGTCTATGTTGTCTTCTATACTCAATTTGTTTTTCTCATCCGAAATTCTACCTTCTTCACATGACAGCAAAGATTGAATGCTGAAAGGAACATTTTCTATATACCCTTTCTATATGCCAGACCTGTTTTCAGGTATGCTGATAAAGACTTTAAAAGTCATTACCTTTGTATTAACAAAGCATAGCAAAGAATCCTACACATTTCCTGGATGGAACTTTTAATGCATAGCTTAACACCACATCCTGACTCACTTCTTGCTGCTTAAAATCTGGGCAACCAAAAAATGTTTGCAAACATGATCCTCCCAGGCTTCAGAAAGTTTCTTCTTCAAAGTCTCCCACCTGTGACACCACAAACATGTTCTGAATGACTACTTCAAAACAAAGAAATAAGAGTTCACCATTTCCACCCGAAATAACTAGCAGTGTACTTTGCCATACTGCAGAGAAACCTAGAGTACAGGAGGTGTAAATCTATATCCACTAAGTACCAATCTATACCCTCAGAAAGTAAGTCCTCAGCTGTGCTCTTTATCTATTTAGGGCTATGCTTATTATTCTCCAATAGTCATCACTATGGTCACCGCAGACCCAGCTTCAGGGTTCACATCCTGGAATGCCCTCTGGGCCACTAACTGACGCCTCTTAATTATATCCTGCAAAAACTCCCTGCTGAGAGACAGGAAAGCTGTCTCATTGCCCTAGTTTAGCGACTCAATCACTAGTAAAGACTATCTGTTGGTCATCTGCACAAAATTACTTCTCCCCAACCCCCCACCTCAAATACACGGGATCTTTGGGATTTTCCTATCTACAGCCATTTTGAATCTAGTAATCTTATGTTACAAAAAGCTTTAAATTGGGAAGAAGCACAGAAACACTCCCTTCTCTTAAAAGAATTTGCTAGTATCTAATTTCACATAAATTTTAATTTAGCCAGTATCTGCCACAGAACTTTTATTAAGAAGTGCTCTTATTTGTAAAATGAAAAAGCCTCCATGAATGAAAGGCTGATGAGATGATAAGCAGCTCTGGAATACTCTGATTAGCCCATCTTTGCAGAAGTCTCATGAGATTGTAAGCACCTGACATTATTACCTGTGCAGAAGACATTAGTCTCTCAGGCATAAAGAGTTTGTCCAGTGTTAATAATCAGTTGCTGTTCAGTCCCCAGAACCAGCTCCTCCTCGTATTCTGAAGTAGATAAAGAGAAGCGCTGATAAGGAAATAGCCTCATTCTCCAAAGCAGCAAGATGCTGTTACCTAGTACCATCAAAAAACCCAAAGAACTAAAATTTGCTATGTGTCAGTTCAGTGATACTGTCTACAAGATTTAAAAAAAAAATAAAAATTACTTCAGTAATTTCAGACAGCAGCATTAACTGCTAAGAAAAATCTGAATACCTGATTGACAATGACAAGAACTGATGTGTATGGCAGCAGCATATGACACAGCTTGAGTAGTGGAACTAGACAGTTCCTGGTAATAGTACTTGATCGGAGTAGCATGGCATGCTTTTTTCACAGTATGCAGTGATAATATATCAACAAAACAATAGTTGCCAGTCTGTTGCTTACCATTAGAGATCAGCTATATGCAAACCGGTGATTACACCTCAAGAGGTCGTATGTATACGTTTACGAGTGCATGAACACTAGCTCTGCCCTGATTCTGTTTACCCTATAGTATCCCACCAACTTTCAGAACAATTAACATTGCTCCTCTACCCACATCAAAAAGTTTGGTGGTGCTTGTTTGTAAGACACTACATAAAATGGTCTCATCTCTGAGGAACCTAAGATGGGTTAGTGACTTGTCAAAGTTCCACTAAAAGATCTCATAAGCAAAGGATGTCAGCTTAACCCAATGTCCAACATACAGAAAATCCTCTATCTTTCCTCAGACAGGAGTGTCCATGAAAGAACCCAGCAGTTCCCTTATAGTACACTCTTTAAAGATCTCAGGTCCGGAGAGGTGTGCCTACAGCTCTGCCCATTCCCACACTACAACCATTTTAAGTCTGCCCAGTACAAACTAGTCAAAGAGTACTGCTGTATCACAAACTGGCTGGGAGAAAGGGGAAAGAAGAGAAGCTTCTCTGGAGGGCCTAACAGACCCAAACAGACCCACAGAAACAGGAGGTGCCAAGGTAATAGTGGCTTGCTCACTGGTAAACTAAAATATCAGAACTTCGTAAGACGTGTATGAATCAGTGATGCTCAATACATACAGATGTCTGATATTCACTGAATCTGTATCATGCACCTGTTTTTCAGAAGAGAAACTGCTGTCTGTGCACATATTTCACAGGAATTAGAGAGCTACAGAATGACCAGGCTGCAAAACTCATTGCCACAATAAACAGCTTTGTACACGGGTATTTAACAGAGAATACTCATTTCAAGCATGTTTATATAAACCATAACAGTCAAATGTTAAGAATTAGAAGAGCTGTAGAGACACATCTTAAAAAAACCAGTTTTGGAATATCTAATTATTTTTATTCTGAAAAGGCATTAGGGAATACAAGTGACACAAACATTTCTGCAAATTTCAACATTATCCTGATCATAAGCCAACTAAGACACCTTAACATAAAGGACAAGCCAAATACTCAACATTTTTAAAACAAAACATTTTTCTCTTCATGAAAGCAAATGCTTAATAATTTAGTTGGTGGTGACCAGAAGGTAACAAATCACAGGAAAATATGATGCTGCTTTACTTTCAGGCAGGTTTAGTACAAGAACTGAAACATGCTTTCCTAACCTTTGATCACAAATGTAGTTTCTGCAGCTATAGTCTTCGTCAGATCAAGTCACAGTTCATATGATTTTGAGTAGGTTAAATGTGGCCTGTAACAAAATATTCACTATTTCAGCCAGTGCTAAAGTTCAAAAGCTTATTGCACATAAACATTTCAAGTTACTTAAATAACTCACTTCCAGCAGCAACAGAGCAACATATGCCTGTTGCCTTTAGCAAAAGAAAATAGAAATGAGGTCAAGTGTAAAAATAGAAGATGGTTACATTCCTGACACTTGAAACCTCATCTTAGAGCTATGCATCTACTGCAGTCTCTACTAAAAAAAAAAAAAAAAAAAGGCCCAAATAAAAACAAAAATATCAGTCAACTTTATCAAGCTCCAAGTGCACTAAAGCCTTTGGGTCTTCTGATCTTTAGAAATATATCTAAAAGCATCAAAATAGGATGCAACATTCACAGCATAAACAACTTTAATACTGTATGATCAAAATGTTTACTCTCACAGCCTGAGAACCTTCAACTTTTATTTGTGTGCCCCCTTCTTACGAGACGCTAAATAAATTAAAAGTTCAAGTCCTGATCCTGTTTACCAGATTTTTAAAATAGCCCAGTGCCGTACAACAGCATGTTTTGAGAAGTTACTTTATTACTTAGGCCTGTAATCTTCAAGAAGCATGAGTAAGGCCTACTCTGTTTCCTGCTTTTCTTCCTCAGAACCACAATACCAAATTCTTTCACCAGTGCAATCTTCCAGAAGCATCACACTCGATTCACCAATTTTTTCAAGTGTAACTTGTCTACTCAAACACATGCACACTAACAGCTACTTTTGATTTATCTTGTCAAAAAAAAGTGATTGATATCACTTGCACACAACTGTCATCTTTTTAATCCCCAAATCTTGCATGCCTCCAAGCATCTCACACTTTAAGGCCCATGTCATAATCTGCCTCATTCTCCAGACATAGTATAAACATACTCTAAAATGACATGACTTTGTCCATAAATCCCTGTTTTGTAAGATAGCCAATGCCTACTTTATATAAAACAGAGATTAACTATCCCTTCATGGTTCTTACCAAAGAAAAGTGATGATTTATCAAAATTTTCAAAGCATGGAAGTCAAGTATGAACTGAATATGTTTTAAAAATCTAGCAAAAGAAGTCTCTGCACAAATGCAAGTCATCCGGGGAGGGACACCAAACCAAAGAACTCCTTATTTTACAATTTAAAAGGTTACATATGGCATTAGTACTGTTACCGAAGGCTGTTCCACAAAATTTCATGTAATCATTCTAGCATTCTCCCTGTCGCTATTAAAATACACTACACCTCGAGGTAACATTTCAAAGTATTGCTTTTGTAACAGTATCACTTTAATTCACATCTCTGTGGCCAGCCAGTAACTGCTACAATAAATTTTCCACTGTGCTTGCAAACGATTAAACAGATTATTTGCCAGCACATAAAGTTAACACTATTAGTTTATGTGATAAAAAGCTATTCTGCACAGACAAAGGAGCAGAGAGGCACACTTGCAGGTGGGGGAACTCACCTAAAAGCCCTGACCCAGACACTCCGAGGGCTATCACATTGGCTCACCCCATGTCCCCACCACCACTGGGCCTCTCCAGGGCACTTTTGAGATTGAGAGGTGTGACTGCTTACAGGGCTCCCAGATTTATTATGGGATGCAGGAAAGGCACTTAGGGATTGCAAGAAGTCCTGTTATGGGATGTTTAGGGGAGAAACCAAAGGTGCGGAAAGGGAGGGATCAAAATGGCTCGGGGAGGACCAAGCATGGGAAAAACAGAGGGCTATGGTGACAAGAGGGACAGGTCACCTGTGAACAGGGTGCAGGTCAGTACATGTATCTAGCTGTACTCTCCCCCAAATCACCACTGTCTGCCCATTTATCTCCTTTTGTAACTCCTTTCCTGGGACTCTGCTCAGTGTGCACGTGTGTCTGTATGACAAGTGGAGTCAGACCACAGGTCACAAGGGCTCATCGATCTGTGGTGCCAGCAGAAGAGGGGGTGAGCTTTTGCAGATCAGAGTGTGATCACAGGGAGTACCAAGCTGGACTAGCCAGAAGACTGGCCTGGGAACCAGGGACAGGGCAAACTGTCCAAGTGAGGCAACTGAAGGAGTTGGCTGCTGGAGAAAAAACAGGGGTCCAAGTGAGCTGGAGAATCTGTGGTGTTTGGGGCAGGGGTGGCTGAGTGTAAGTGTGTGTGCGCAAGAGGCAATGGACCCAAGGAATAGTTTCAGGGTAGAATAGGTGTCTAAATCCAGCACCTGGAAGGATCATGCATACATGCATTTGCCACTAGCAGACATTCAGCTTGACCGTCCAGAAAGGGCAACTGAGTAAGGCCATTGGCACTGTTTGTGCTTGCATTAGCACTATGTTTTCTGCATTCATGTGGTGGCCAGCTGTGTGTTTATATACATACATGCTGAATACATGTGTGTGTGCTACTGAGAATATGTGCTTCGCCTCACTACTGGCTGGACCTGGGGGCCATGCGTGCCTGAACTAAGAACTAGAAATACTTGAACAGAACCCCTTATAGGCCTTCTTTAAAAGCCAAAACCAAAGTATGTAAGCACATTTTTAACTTGAAAATGTTTCTGTACTGTTGTTTTTCTTCATTTCCAGGTGTGAATCAAGTCCTTTTACAAATACAACTCCAAAGTTATGATTTATATACAGTACAAACAACAGGAGATATGGTCTGGGGGAGGATTTGGAGCATTTCAGAAAGCTTCAGTGACCATTTCAAGATATTCATTCGAATATTTCACCAAGAAGTGGAAGCTGGAAACCTTTTATCATTGCTTGATGTAGCAGCTGTGCACTTGCACAGCATATCTTCATCCCCATAATCCTACCCCATCAGGGTTTTTTCAGTCACACAGGGTTTTACCTGAGAGAAGTGCAGTTTACAGATGTAACACAAGAGGCTGCTACAGTCACATAACCTGCCTTAGCTATAGCATGAACTCCAGTTTACCCAGAGCATCCCAGAATGGAGAAGCCAAATCCTACACTGAGTTTTTATGACAACTGAGTTACTCCAGAAAACATGACAGAATCTCAGGAAACTTGGCAGTAATGAGTCTTAGTCATAATGAATGCATAATTAACTTAAGTAAATAAGCAGAAACTAAGGCCTATGGGATTTATAATGTTGCAACCGTCAGCTCAGCAACTCCTCTTTTCTGTGTTCTTCCAGTTTCATTGACCTCCTGACTGCAATAATGCCAAATTTAGAGTTTCTTGAAGGAAGAACACAGCAAAGCTTAAGAAACTGGACAGCGGGTGACTACACTGAATGGAAACAAAACCACAGCTCATTCTCAAAAGGGTAAAGGGGAGAGTTTTGCAAATAAACAGCAGGGTCACATGCCCCAGCAGAAGA